TCAAGCACAACCTCAGAATTATAACATGTTGGTCATACTCGTTGTCTACACTCACCTCATCATATGCGTATAGACTCCTCCTGAATGTAAGCATGCACTTTGTACTCCCCCATTATAGGGTGAAGCCGGTGTACAAGTCACAAACGATTGGAGCCTACCACGGTGGAAGGCCACGAAGAGATATTCAAAGCATCTCTCGCTTATCAACTTAATATTGATTTGTTGAGGGTTTTAGGTCTCATCACATATAAACATACATTTTAATCTAATTAAAACATTTTGGTCCTATTACAACTATTGGTCCATTTGATTGATTTAGTTGTATATAATACTCCCACTAAGCTTTTAAAAACGGTTTTTAAAGCAAGAGTATATGATACTACTAACATAAGGTTTGCATTCATTGATGGACTATATAGTTGCCTTAGGGCCTTAGGATGACTATGAACCTTTGATTCGATTCAACACGAGCCTAGTGTTGAATCTCGGTCTAGGGATGGTGATTGATTTTAGTTACGCGTTTAATCACATTAAGGCGTGTTGTCTTATTGGGCGTTGGACCCAACTACTCCATTTTCATGCATATCGAATAAAACAAGAAAGGAGTACTTCAAAGTAAATAAGAGCTTATGCTCTTTTACAACAATTGATCAAATCAAATTACTTTAAAGTAAAGAAGAGCTTATGCTCTTTTACAACAATTGATCATATCAAATTACAACCAAAATTTAATCTACACATTCCCATGGTTCAAACAAATTTGAAACGGCCTTTCACATAGCTCAATTATCGTAGGCTAAGGTTCATAATCACCCTTTCTTTAATTAATTAACGCTTTAACTAATTAAACTTGAATGCAACATTTTCATTTGGCTTTTGTATCCATAGAATTGATTTAAATGGAGCTAAATGAAATGAAAATCCAATTCTCATTTAAAGAGACAAAACAATTTTTGTTCTCTACCTAATTTGGGCCAAAATGCTATGACCTCAACTTGTTTGGGCCATAGTGCAATTAACCTCAACTTTTGGGCTATTTTGCAAAAACTTAAACTTTTGGGGTCACTTTGTAAAAACACAAAAGTCCACTACTTCATGTAATTACAACTAGAACCCAAAAATTTCCACAAAAAATAAAACTTCATTAAAGGAGCAAAACAATTTGTCCTTTTAGTGATTTTGGACCTTTACGTAAAAACGTAAACTTTTGGGTCAAAATGCAAATACACAAAAGTATCAAAACTTTATATAATTGCACAAAAGCCCCACAAGGACCCTAATTGAGTAGGGTGGCTGATTTTGAAGCAAAGTAATAAAAAAAAAATTTCAAAGTTTTTGTAAGTGGGGTGTGTGTAATGGAATAAATCATTACACACCAACCCACTAAAATTTCTTTAATTTTTCAAAATAAATATCTAATATATTTAAACATAAGAAATATTTCAAAACAAAAACTTTATGAAATAAATCAAAACTTTGAATCAAAACACCAAACCTTTTGTTCTTGGCAAGAACATATCAAGAACAATGAAGAACATTCATGAAAACCCATAAGAGCTCCATGAACATTCTTCACCCAAAAACATACCAAAACCACTCAAACTTAAGGGAAATAACATACAACCATACTAGGGTACATAGGGGTTCCAAAAGTTACTCTAAAACACTTTTAACAAGTCAAACAAGAACCCAAAATTCCACCCTTTGTATTTGGCCGAATTTCCCAAAAAACATGGCACCAAATTTTAGCTCCAATTTCATGCTCATATGAACTACATCTACAACATTTGAGATGGCAAATTTTCTAACAAAATTTACATTCAAAGAAGCAAGAATAAAGCTTGTAACAATTACAACATTCAAATCACAAACTATGAACTACAAAACCCAAAAGGATTCACCAACTACTAGACTTAGGCTCTTGATACCACTTGAAGGAAAATTTGTGAAAAACATGTTCATTTAAGCAACATCAATAGCATGCAATTAACAATTAAAGGCGGAATCATGCTTGTATGCACTTAAAACAAAACATTTACCCATGAAATTCAAAGCCTAGTAGATAGGTGAACCAAGACTCAACTCAAAACAAAGTGAGTTGAGAAATCAATACCTTTGTAGATTCCTCTTTGCATAAGCAAAGGCTAATCACCCAAAGAGAGGGCCTTCATTCCTTGCATCTTAGATCCATGGATTTGAATGGATGAAAAGGATTCTCCAAGTTCCCAAAATTGAGAACCTCTAAGTCTCCACACCAAGGTAAGATTGGAGAAGAAATGAGTGACCTTGAGGAAGTAAGATTGCTAGATGTTTTCCTCAAGGGTGGCTGAAATTTTAGAGAGAAAAGAGAGCTTGTGTTCTCATCCTTTCCCCCAAAATAACCCTTAGAAAACCCTAAGGATGAAATGGCTATAAAGATGTCTTTATACCACCTCACAATGGAGTGGCAAACTTGCAATTAAGCCAAGTTCACTACCCTCCTCTATATGGCCGAATTTAAGGGGATTTATTGGGCTATTTGGGCCTTTGTGAATCATTATTCATTAAGTTGTCATACAACTTAAGTCAATGGACTTGACGTTCGAAGCCCATTGGGCCTTAAGGTCCAAAACTATCCCGAGGTCTTTAACGAACTTATTCGTTTGATTAATTAACATATTAATTAATCCTTGCCATAAATAATTAAACCATTTAATTATTCTTACTCATCTCCGTTGAATCTTCAATCTCTACCTTACACGGTGTACGATCCATTAGGTTCCTTTTAGCGAGGCAGTGGGCGATTCAAACTCTTTCAAATCGATTGTGAATTGAAACTTACTTTCAATTCTCCCGTTAGTGATAATACACTTTTAGGGCTTCCACAAACCATGGTTGACGCCTAGCAGCATGTCATGGTTACCCAAGCTAATCAGAAGAGGTGGAGAACCTATTCAGTTTAGGATTACAAATGCAATACGGTCTTTCTCTAATACAATACTCTTGACCACATTGTTTGGTTTGATAGTTTATTCATGTCTACTATCCAATGTGAATCTTGTACTTATATGATTACCTTGAATGTGATCTGGAACGCATTCCAACATCTCATTCATACTCTGGCCAGAGATTCTAAATCATATCATAGAGTATTCTCCCTCAAATAGTTTGAAGGTTAGAGATCCCTTGTTGCGCATTCACTTGCCTCCATGGCTAAGTGGCTTAACCCCAACGATGCCGTGGACACCCTGATAGAGTGACGTTGACATAATCAAAGATTAAGGACCTAACCACAAGACAACTGTGATGCCTCAGGTCAAAAGACTAATTTGCATTATCCCAACCATGAGTTCTCATGTGACATGAATATGAGAACTCTTCGTTGATCGTGTTCAGTGAACTCATTCTCTATTGAGCACCTACGTACTTGTCTTGATGTCACACACACCAATGACTCGAGACTAGTCACTCTCCCTGAGAGAAGACATAGCACGTACTGATCTTAACGGACTGTCAATGCCCAATTGACAATCCTATGATCAGGAACGTTTAGGATGTGTCAACGAAAGAATGGTCTCATGAATCTAACTTCTTTACATCGCATTCTTCCAATCACATATTCCTTGGACTTATCGTTTAAGCATATAACATTTATATTAGACGGCTCAAACAATAATCTTTGCCCTTTAAACTACATTAGTTTGAAATGTCCGTAAAGTATCATCATATGATTGGTTTTAGGGCACATTTCCAACAATACACAGATAGAAGAGAGTTTGAGAGGGATGGAGAGTCTGCGAGTGATAAGGAACAGAGAAGGAAAATAATGAGAGAGTGAGAAATATGAGAGGGTTAGAGGGATAGAGGTCCAAGAGAGTTGGCGAGAAACTGAGAGGAGACATGGGAGTGAAAGGGGGAGTGGTGTGGGCCCCACTTAGCACACAACTTAAAGTCACCAATGAAGAAACAGAAAAATATCTCCCGTAACGTGAATTTACCAAAACACCCATCACGCTTAGTAGTTTGTAAAATCTTCGTTATAACTCCAAATTCAGTTTCGCTTGCGCTTATGCGTTTGTACTGTTGAGTACTTCGAGAATACGGTAAAATAATAACTCAATACGCATCACAGAGAGACAGTCAAAGAAAGTCAACAATCTCTCTTCTAAAGGCATTTTGGTCAACTCACACTTTTAAAATTTATAAAATCGTAAAATTAGGGACATGTTACTTCAAATGTTTTCATTCCCTTAGTGATTTCAACAACATCGTTATGTATATTAAGGCTGCCAATAGATTTTTGTCAAAGAGAAACATGATTGACAATAAGGCTACCAATTAGTTGATATCTTGATATAGATAACTTTCGTTGGTGATTTATTTGGTTGATATTTTCTTACTGTGTTGTAGCTGCATTATGATATCCATTCTAGAAGAACAATTTCATATTGTAGAAGAATCTCTCTTAATCGATCAGTCCAGAAGGTGTGTAGTGTGTGAGGTGTATTACAATAAATTTTAATTAAAAAAATAATTATAAGGTGTATTCAGTATGTAAAGTGTATAGAAAATGTATACAACAATATATGAGGTGAGAATAAAACAGCTCAATAAGGTATAGCAGGCAAACAAGGCAAAGCCAAATTCCGCGTTGAGGTCAGCAAAGACATTGACACACGACCGCATGTGTATTTATATTCCGTGCAACCACCGTTACCACCCAAAACACGGGAACGTCACCCAAGTATTATTAATACCACCCACCCATTTTGTTATTCCCACCCACTTGCACAATAAATCCACCAATACAGTAAATAAAATATTAAATAAAAACCAAATATAATAACTTCCACCAATTTTTCTTCAACGGTAAAAGCGTGTGGAAATCAAATTTAACGACTAAACACATGGAAGTCAATTTTTACAATTGAATTCAACAAAGCAAACAAACCACTAGCCATAAAATAAAATTAAAAAAATTAAAAGAAGATTAAGCAAAATAAAACAAACCAGAAGAAAAATATTTGAAAACGCGATCAATTAGCACCGGTAATACTTTAATAGGTTTTGTACACCTTAAAATTAACTACGTCAATCTCTAAGAAATTTAAATCCAAATCCCTAATTAAACTCTAATTTTATACTAATTAATATTTTCTACTGTTATGTTGCTTTACCGATCCATTCGCTTCAATAGCTTTATTTGCGAGTCATCATCTTCTTGAACTCGGCGAAGTTGACGTGGCCATCGCCGTCGGCGTCGACGGAGCTGATCATCTTCGCGCAGTCCTTGAGCGAGCACTTCTGCCCCAACCGCTTCAGCACCTCATGCAGCTCACTCGTGGAGATCAGCCCGTTCTTGTCGAGATCGTAGAGGTCGAACGCGTCGCGAAGCTCCTTGGTGGATCCGCCATTGATGATCTCTGCGAACTCCACGATGTCAATGTGACCGTCGCCGTCCTTGTCGAACTCAGCCATAATGCGCTGGACCTCCTCCAGTGAGGCCGTCTCGGAACCGAGATCGCCGAAAACGCCCCTGAGCTCCTCGCAGGAGATCCTGCCGTCGCCGTTCTTGTCGAACTTGTCGAAGACCTTCTTCAGCTCCTCCATGGAGCCGGCGGCGCCGTCTCCCGAGCCTTTCGAATCCAATTCGCTCTTTGACATCGCAGCAAACACAGCGAGAGGAACTTTCTGGAGAGAGACAGAAGTGATGAGGGAGATTTGGAGCTTTTCTGCTTCTGTTTGATAGTTTGACTAACAAGAGATATATATAGGCGATATCACACGCTTTTAAAATTTTGACGCGTATATGTTGCGGCGGGGATCGGGTGCGTGCCGACCTATTACAGTTGGGGTTCACAAGCCAGTTGTTTGACCTGTGGGCTAGCGACAGCGAATAAGATGTCGAAACGTGGAAAGAGATAGTGAGGTGGGGCGTAGGGGATTTGTTGTGGTGGGGTTTGTGTATAAAAAGGTAAGGTTTGTGCTGGCCTAAAAGGGGGAGGTTAAAAAGGATGCGAATCCGTAACGATACAAATACGGTTGGGTTCGGGGGAATAGGATTACCGGTTACCTGATTTCGCGCGTGGATTAATTAAGTAAAATAAATTTTTTGTTTTCAAATCGGATTTGGGATTTTGTTTCCCGAATTTTGATGGAAGATGAAAGCGCGTAGAGTCTCCACTACGGAAGTAAATACGTTCGAGTGATCTAAATGCATATGTTCGAGTGATGAAAGCGCGTGGATAAATATCCAAAACAAGTGACGTAAATGCGTAGGTCAATTTTTTAAATAACTGAGGTAAGCACCCATGTCTCATTGTCTTGTTCTGGAAAATGTTTCGTGTAATTCATGCTACGAAATGAGTTCAAATTTTGACCCATATTAAAAATAGTTGTTTTATTAAAATATGTTCGATTCTTTGAGTTTAGGATTATTTTATTATTAATAATCATCGCTTTAAAATGTAGCATATGAAATTAAATCTCCTTCTAATTATCTCCTTAATTATTTCTTCTTTGAACCCTATTCATATATGTTATTTATTGATTGTATTTATCTACCAATATGACATATTATTTTTTATAATCATACACGTATCCATAGACAAAGCCATCATGGGCTAGGGGGCAGATGCCCCCACTCATTTGGTTGCGAAAAAATGTATATGCTTGTGACATTAGCAAAATGTATCACTAGTTTACTTGCTTGTGATATTAGCATTAATTGTTCTAATTGATACTGTGCATTTTTGCCCATGAATTTTGGAAGAATAGATTGAGAAATTAGATAGGAGACTAATGGATGAATGATAACATGATTATTTTTTTTTATAGATAGAGAGATATTTGATTGTATTGGTAATGTTGTCATACAACGTTTTCAAAATATGAAAATGATTCGAGGGATATTGTAATGAAAAATCTTATAGATTAATATTTAAGTATTTTGTTTAGTAATTCTTTAGCTTTTTTAATTTGGGATTTTATTGTTTAAGTATGCTCCCATCCATATGGATCTTTAGCTTCGTCTCTGCATATATCACAAATTAATTTTAATAAGGGACATATGGATCTTTAGCTTCATCTCTGCATATTTAAGTATGCACCCATCCATATGGATCTTTAGCTCCGTCTCTGCATTCGTCCCTTTGTCGAGAATGTATAAATAGCCTCATTATCTTTCCACTAAATCTCAATTCGATTCGCCTACTTTTTCTTACGCTTTTCGCGTTTTAATGGGAGGGTGCGCCAACACCCTTGTTGACCTTTGTTGGTCCTTCCCAGTGTTCGCCCTTGTTAGCGATGTCGCTCATTGGATCTTTCTTCTTGCCGGCCTCCTTTGTTTCTGAGTGACGATCGTTTCTGTGGAGGATGGAGCGGCCTTCTTTTTCAACTTTGGTTTTCTGGATGGTGATGGAGGCTGGCTTCTATGCTTCTTTCTGAGGTTTGTCAACGATGGAGAGAGCTTTTACAGTAGCTTTAGAAATTTGTATTTGGTTGCCATCACTAGCCTTCACTGGACTAAATCTTAGAGCAATATCATGTTTGTTACGCAGCAGGACTAGCCGGGACTCGCCTCGACAAGGGACGTCGCTAGACGGTCTTAGTGAGTCTCATCGAAAAGCATTGGATTGCTAAGACCATCGCTGCTTCACTTCATCTGCTTCCCTTCGTCCGCTTCTCTCCCTTGCTCTATCTATCTGCTTCATCTGCTTCTCTCTCCCTTGCCCTATCTATCTGCTTCTCTCTCTCTCTCTCTCTCTCTCTCTCTCTCTCTCTCTCTCTCTCTCTCTCTCTCCTTCCATTCATCAAGCCGGTCGAGATCGGCGTCCCTCTCAATTGCTTCTCGGAAGCCAGAGCCGTCGAGCACGTTTGAGTCTTGGCCCAAGAGATCGACGACCGCCAGGTGAGCTCACTTTTCATTGCCCTCACTGCATTTTTCTCCCTTTTTTGTCCAAATTGAAGAAAAGATTTGGGATTTTTCGTTGGGTTTGATTTGAATTCCCCGTTGTAATTGCTGTTGGAGAGATTGGGTACAATGTTTTGTTTTAGGTTGAGATACTTATTCGCAATTTCCTAATTTGTTGACAGGAAAGGCATCCTGGCTTGACAGAGATTGCTCAATACATTACAGGACAATTGGAAACGATAAAGTTGATCATCCATTGATTCATTACTTGGTGTATTCTGTTTTTTGATTGCATGTGTTTGTTTTTGCATTGGGTTTTGTCCGTTCGGTTTATTGTGTTGCTTTTGCTTCAAATATTGATGGATTTCTGACCGATATTGTTATATGTGGGTCTTTTTACACCCGGTGTTGGTTGTATGCTTGTGATAATATGTCTTTGTTGTGTGCTGCTTTATGGATGTTCTGGTTTTTTGTTATGGTGAAACTCGAATCACATGAATGTAGCTGTTGTTATTGTTTAAATTGATGGTCTGGTATAAGTTCTTGTTGTATATATGCGGAAAATCCTTTGTGATTGTTAATTCGTGGCAGTGTCGGAGATGCTAGCTGGTGGCTCTTGACTGTAAAATTGGCCATTGGCGGTGTTAATGAATTGGGAATGCCATTTATCAATTATATGCATCAGAATACAACTGTTGACTTCAGGGAGGAGGTGGTTAGTCTTACTTTGCATGTTTTTGAATTCTATGACATAATTCCCTTTAGTTCTTCATGAATGCTAGCCAATGACAGAAACATGTTACCGGGATTTTGTTGTTCCTATTCTCGTGGCCACTCAAGAATGATTTCTTATATGGTGGCTTATGTAAAACATGTGTTAGCTTTAGTGGGAGAATGTAAGCTTAATTAGAGCTTATCGCTTGTTTTACACATGCTTAGGGGATTGAAGTCATAAGAGTTTGGGATGAACTATACTTGTAAAGCTATCAGGGAATGTATTTGGATTGATACACAACTATAAGTAGTCTCAGTTTTCAATAAGTCAACTATTCTGATATGATGACTTTGGTTTGTGGTGATAAGGATATGTGTTTATATGATTTTATTAGGATTACATGATGGGAAGTAACCTAATCAAATACCACCACTGAGGATATATAATAGGGGTTCTGCATTCACACTAATTACGTAAAAGAACAAGCCCCATTATTTGTTAATTGCATACTGTAGTGTCGAGGTTAGAAGAGCTCTATTTTCTTAAGCTGCAATGGTTTCTCAAAGTTAGTGGTTAATTGTATTTGTGTTCATGTTTGTTTCCGCGATAATAATGTTACACTTGATGCATTAGTTTAACTTTAGGTTCATAAATGCCAATGCATTGTTCTTGTGAATCCAGAAGTTTCAGATGTCAGCAACAAGCTTGGTTCTTTTTCTCATGAGTTTACATATTCTGGACACTCCGTAGACTACGCTGTTGCAATTCAAGCACTCAAGATGTAGACAAGTGGTTGAAGGCCACTGAAGAATATGTAAAGGAACTCAAGTTTAAGCACTAAGTAGTTGCAATTTGTAAATGTATCGGTGGCTGGCAATGATGAAAAAATATGTAGACTTTCATGTAAAGAAAATGAATGGTATTCTGAATGAAGCATCTTCCCTCTTGAAAAAGGTTTTTTGACAAGAAGGTGGAAGTTTTCATAATTAAAACTCATTAATTAGTAGAGATAAAAATATATAATTTAGTGTAGGCTAGTTCGACACTGCACCAAACGTTTCACAATTCTAGTAGTGTTTAGTCTATGCTAAGCCAATCCAATTTAGTTCTTGAAGTTAGTCTAGTCCGAGATAATCCGATACAACCAACGCATCTAAAGGATAGGGCTCTGTTTTGTGGTTTGTGTCTGCTGGGCTACAAAACCGGTTCAGGCCAATTTAATTATCGATTTGTAGACAATAAAAACCGAATTCAACCGCACTAAACCGGGAAATTAATTAGATGTTTTTATTTATTTTTATTAAAATGGACCTCAATACTCATAAGGCCCAATGAATTCCTCTGTAGTTCGAGTCCACAAAAAGCCTAAGGTCCAATTGCTAAATTTTTTTTGGTAAAAGCTCATACCAATTCAATGTGAAAGATTTTTTACACATATATACATACCTGCTATATTGGTATCAACGGTCATGACATACAGTTTGGTATCACTTATGGTCTATCTGACCCTCAAAGCTCAATCATTATTGTTCTTGTTAAGACAGAGACAGAAAAAAGTGGTTTAATTCACTAAAACAATTAGAATCGCACTCTAATATTATATGACATTGAACGCGTGCCGAATATAGTTAATTAGATTTATTAGTTTTGAATCTAATAAGTTAAATTAGTTAATTAATCATATCTGCATTTAGGGGTTCAATTTGAGCCTAGTATTATTTTTGGGTTAACGAGCCAGATTGGGACCGAACCCATTGGGATTTGTATTAAGTCACAAATATGATTTAAGTCTTAACTTAATCGTGCAGGATGTATCATAGTGAGAGTGAGTATGTACAAGAAAAATTACTTGGTGGTACTTGATTTTTCGGCTTCTTCTGTGTAAGTACGTTATTGCCAAAAAAATTTCCGTGTTTATCGTTTCCACTGATGAACTATATTCTTCATGTTTTCATGGTCTTGCGAGCATATATCTCTAAATTGGTCTATAAAATTCTTACCATAGTATAGCCAAAGGTGCATTGTAATCATTTCAAGAAAGAAATTTGAAACATTTTGCTGTCACACTGACTTTTGGTATCACAACGAAGGTGCTAGGTTTTTGTGCCTCACTAACAAGCATGAAATCAAAAATACCTTTCCCTAACACTAATTTTAAAGGCTCGCAACGTAACTCCCTTCGTAACACTCATTTATAATATTGACTACTGCATTGGATACATCAGAGTATATGAGTTTAAGGATAAGATGATCTAAATTACTGAAATTGAATCTGACGGTTCTCATTAATTCATTCTGCTGTCTCATCTCAGACAAATCAAAGATTTTGAACTTTTTATATCTCTTTCACACAAATCAAAAGTTCGAATTTTCTGATCTTAAATTTCACACTAAGGTCCGGAGAATATTTAAATTATGCGATGGAATGCCGGATTCAAAATCAAATTTTGTCTGGTGAGAATAGAATAGACGATGGAATAGATTTCGTCACACATGGCAACAAAACAAAGGCTTCGGGGGGGCCAACCAATTAGAACAACAAAGTTCATCGGCAGTCCAAAGAACTTTGACAAGGCGACAAACATTACGACTACGCCACTGCTCTCCTGCTTTGCTTTCTCCGCTGCCATTTTCCATTCCACAAGAGCTTCAGAGTAAAATCGAAATTGGAAGTTCTCAACTGGTTCGAATTCTCTTCTGGGTCTGCGATTGTTTTGATGGCTCTTCATTCTACTGCTTTCTGCTTCGGCGGGGTGGTTTCTTTGCCTCGCAATTCGGTTTCTTTTAGTCAACGGACAGTCAGAGCCTCTGCATTTGCTTCCCCACCACCTCTCAGTTCTTCCTCCATTGCCAGATTGAATGTCCAAGGTAATGCTTTGGTTTCTGAGTTCTATCTGCCTCTTTGGAATATGGGTTTTGTTTGGTTCTGATTTTTATCTGATTATTTTGCTGAATTATGACGTACTTTTGGGGCGTTTGTGTGATGTTCCTGAATTGGATTGAAGTATTGTATGAATTGTTCATTTGGGGGCGTTTGTGTGATGTTCCTGGATTGGATTGAAGTATTGTATGAATTGTTCATTTGGGTAATTGGAGTTCGTCGGGCATTATTTGCATTTTCTGGTAAAATTTTCGTTTGGGTATTTGGATCATGAATGTTAGAATTGCATTTTTGTGATCGGTTGTTGTTGACTGCATATGTGAGACGTCTAGCTCTATAAGTGTCCCGATTTTATCTTTATCTTTGGCAATTGAAGTGAAAGCTGCAAGCGCGGGACCTTTTAATTGTAAAATAAATGCAAAATGTTAAGAACGAGGACAGACTGAAACTGGAATGTCATCCAGTTTGGGATTTTAGGATTCCGTGATATGAGAAGGAAAGAAGAAGGAAGGATATTGGAAAGTTCCAAGGTAGAGACTGGAGAGCAGTGCATACTCGCATCGAGGTATGCCAGATAACTTACATCAGTGTTCACACTGAAGTCCTCCATTAGAGAAAGGTGGGGAATCCACCAAGCATCCAAAACCTAAAAGAAATGTTTCGATTGGCCATGGGACAGTTGAGAGGAGCATCACTGCTGGTATTGCTCTCTTCCGAGAGTTATAGGAGCATTTAGGTTCAAGCAGAGCCAGCAGCTCATGGTCAACATGTCAAATACATTTGAAAGTTTGATTTTGTAAAGATAGTTGAAGGGGATAATTCACCAGTAAAAAACCCTTGTGCACCGAAAAGCTGTGGTACCTGAGTTATCTTGGTCGACTGCTGAAATCTTTGGTTGACCAGGAGTATCTGGTACCCCGAGAAAACCTTTCAGCCCACTTAGAGTGTGGCTGGTTGACCAGCCAATGTCCTTGTCTTCCAGGACAGCTTTTAGTCATCCTGAATGTTAATTTAGCTGTGGTTTTTCCTGTTTTGACTTTTTATTGTGCCTAATGTCCATTCAGTTTTTAGTTACTCCTAAGAATCTCTGTCATATCCTATACTATTTTGACTATTCTAGACTAATAGGCACATGCTATCTCTATGTTCGTTGCTCAAAGAACTTATCATAGTTCAGTCTCTTTAACCCTAACCAAAACCTGGAAGTACTCTAGAGGTCAGGTGATGTCTTGATCTACTCGTAGTTGTCTTGATTCCATCTTGATTGTCTTGACTTTGTCTTAATTCCACCTTTACTCCTAATGCTCTTTAGGCATCCAAGTTGTCTCATTTTATAATGCACTGCACGTTCTATTTTGATGTCACTGTTCAGTAAATGTGCATGCCATGAAATTTGCCAAACTAAATTCCTGGATTCTACATGTTGTTCTTGGATTGCTGTAATTAGGACCATGAGCTTGTGCTTTCTTAAATTTCGCTATTTGTGCAGAACATGCTTTGCATATGACTTGAATCATGAGTGACATTACCATACAGCTTTTGGTCTTCTGCTTACTTAATTATCAAAGTTTCCTGTTGTTAAAAACTGAGCCTTTCACTGTCTGACAGTAAAATATTTTAGGAAAAGCATTTGCAGGAGATGTGCTACTGGACACAAAAGAATCCTCCCTTGTGGTTTGTTTCGGGGAAATGCTGATTGATTTTGTCCCAACTACTAGTGGACTTTCATTGGCTGAGGCACCTGCATTTAAAAAAGCTGCTGGAGGAGCCCCTGCTAATGTTGCAGTTGGCATAGCTCGTCTTGGTGGCTCATCAGCTTTTATTGGAAAGGTATCATTTTAAATATATGTATCCATATTATTGTTATTCTGGTTTCTAAATGAAGTCCACGGTTACTTAATATTTTAAGTCATTAACTAATAATTTGACCACTTTCAACATAGCCTACCTTGCCTATCATAGTTGCATTGTGCATGCTTAGACACTTTCAACCTAGTTTTCTATTGTATTTCTTAGCTGTATTGTTGCATCTTAGTTCTTCTTATGCATTAAAGTAGTGAAACAAAAACAAAACTAGTTCTCTCGTGTTGTGCCAATTGTTTACTGTTTTATAAAATCTTGAGTTCAGGGCAATGTTATCCTTTCAGGTATTTTATATTTATGCAATGCCTGCAGGTCGGGGAAGATGAATTTGGATACATGCTTGCTGATATACTAAAGGAGAATAATGTGAACAATGAGGGAATGCGTTTTGATCCTGGTGCACGAACTGCTTTAGCTTTTGTTACATTGACGAGTGATGGGGAACGTGAGTTCATGTTTTATCGTAACCCTAGTGCTGATATGTTGCTTCAAGAAGCTGAACTTGATCTTGATTTAATTAGGAAGGTATGAAACAGTTGCTGTTGTTAGTTAAATAACACTGAAAGATTATAATTGTAAAGAGTCAAAAGAAGGCAAGGATAAATATATCTTATAAAGGAAATGTCTAGAGAACTAACTATCTTGCATGGTTTATCATCTGATTAATGACTGGTAAACCTAAACCAACTTTTCAATATCACATAGTACACCTCACATGAGAAGGATACTTAAATTTGAACTCTTTATTCCAGAATCCAAACCCACTTACATTTATGCATCTGAGACATCATGACAGCCGCAGACTCCGGTATCAGTGTGTTTCATTTAGGTCACCCCATTTTGGGCTCTTCTTATTGTTGGATATCAACTTGCATGCCTGTCTGACATGATTTTATTTTGCAGAGTTTTGTCCGTTTATTTTTTTAAGGTGGTGCTGTCCACACACCCATTTTTACCTCCCACACACCTCTTGTTAATTTCTATCCATTGATCTTTTCTATTCATTCAATCTGTTGGCCGGAAATTGAGAGGGCTGTGCCAAAAGTAAAAAGGGGTGTGTGGATAGCACCACCCATTTTTTATTTGACTTGTTAGTCATTTTCTTTATAGTAATGTTCGGAGTCTGTCTTGACCATCCTGTGGCAGGCAAAAATATTACATTATGGTTCTATAAGTCTTATCACGGAACCATGCAAGTCAGCTCATATTGCAGCAACAAAAG